CCTTTAAGATTTTAAAGTTAAATTAAGTAAGGGAAAATTGCCACCGTACCATTTGCCGAGATGTCTTTATGAGGGAGTCTCTCTGTGATTCCTCATTATTCCTTTACGATTGTCCGAGTGTGCGAGTGGATCGATGCGCGCTAGTTAGAGACTCCACAACTACCGCGATCTTGTCCGATCTTTGTTTAGTGGCGTTTGGCACTTCGTGCACTTCGTGCTGGAGGCTGTCTGTTGAAGAATTGATACTGCAACAGGGGAAAGAAAAGGGAGTTGGTTCGTTTTGCCGTTTTCTCGTGCAATGTACGCGAGACTAATGGGGATAATAAAGGGGATCCGCGCTAACGATTGATTGTGGAAGCACAAATCTCCTGAAGAGGCTCTTTTCGTCTTTTTAAGTCCTTTGGAAAAATTTCTAGCTATATCTCGTTGGAATAATTAATTCTTCAGAATCGAATCGTTCTTGAACGCAAGACGATATTCTTGCATTTTCCCTCATAACGCACTGGAAAATTAATTCATTCGCTATTGAATCGGTAATTTCAGAAAGGATATTGTATTCCGTAATTTTAATTTTTCGAAGAAATGTACGCATTTAAATTGTATTGTATGTATTGTATGTATTGTATGTATATAAATTAATACATTTCAGTGTGATTCTATTCTATTACTGTTGCGCCCTGACACAACAATTTATATAAAAGGAGAGCAATACGTACAACCGTTTTCAATACTGTTAAAGTAGAGCCTTTCCGAAATGATCGCGTTGGATCGTCGACAGGAGACCGCTCTGATCAATATCTCATTATAGTTGGATATCGCGCCCTCGTGACGGTTTCGTATGAATTAATCAAGAACAGAGAATCTAATCTAAGGATAAGAGATACAAGGGAATGATCAGATGGAGAAAGCGAGATAGCTAGTCTAAAAAAAAGAGATGAGAGCGACATGCGCGAACCGAGCTAAGTCTTAGACAATATCCTTACACTGTAACGGAGGGTCAGTGGGAACGCTGTCCCGGTAGCTGGAGAGATTGAGAAGATAAAGTTGGTGGCGGTCCGTTCAAGTTCAGGCAGATGGGGGGTAGTTGTCTTACCATGCTGGATCCAACCTGCTGCAGTATCCCGCCTGGCTGCGAAGATGCTGAGGATACGGACGGCCGTCTCGAACCGCGAATACTGTTCAGGCTCGTGCTGAGCAAATATGGCACGCTGCTACTTGTGATCGGCATTCCGCTTCCCTGCAAACAGATTCGATTTAACACGTTGATTGTCCGAAATAATCGCGCGTGCCGTAACACTTTCTTTTTTCGTATAAATTGAAATCATATGAGAAACATATTTAAATATTTAGTTCATTTTTTTTAATTTGCGACAGAATTGGAGATAGAATTCTATTTATAATTTTACACGTAAATATAAATATAATGTTATATGATGTTATATGATTTTGGATAATTTTATATATAATACATGAAACATTTCGAGAATTAAAATATACATGTATACAGAAAATATAGCAGTAATATGTATTTTGTAATGTATGTATTCCGATTCTGCAAATTGGCTTTTTACTAAAAAGGATTAAAACCCCTATTAAGCTGGCACACCTACCATGAAAAATCGGGTTCAAATTTAGTGCAAAATTAAGTGCTAATTTGTTGCTAATTTGTTACTCTAAGCGCGAATTTGTTGCTTTTATCCATTAGCAGAAAATAATATTAAAGATGGGGGTGCTGACTTGCCATTAAGCTGGCACCACCACCTCCGAAAAACACTTACAGCCAGTTGCAAATCAAAAAACAAATATACCAGAATTTTGCACTTAATTTTGCACTAAATTTGAACCCGATTTTTCATGGTGGGGGTGCCAGCTTAATAGGAGTAGAATTAAAAGGGCTTATAAAATTGTTAAATATAAAATTATTAATGGTTCTATATCAAGTCGCATCGCAAATTAGAAAGCAGGTTTTATTCTTATAAAATTTAATCATTACTGCATCGTTTCTGTTTTGCAATTTCTAATAAGCACTGATGATTCTTTCTTGAATAGGAATAACAAGTATCATTGACGAATAATGCGGTAGTCAATATATTAATGCGTTAAATTCCGCAAACTCAATTATCAATAATTGATGCTATTGTGTCCACGTGTTGCACTCTGATGCGAAAAATAGGAAATGAGAAAAAATATTGAAACCAATTATTGGTTGTTAGGATTTCGTACAAATGTGCCGTTGGAATATAATCGTATGTTCATATACGTCTGCATTAATACTGCACGGCGATCAATTAACGACTCTGATTTATTTCTGTTTTACGGCGCCGTATGATCAATAGAGGGATTCGCGTCTATAGGCGGCAGGAAGTTTTCCGATTGTTCCAACACGTAAAAATGTCAGTAGGTCACATTAGTTTAAACTTTGACGTGCCTCGTAATAGTTAGTTAACACTATGGAAGAGTCATGAATATTTGAATACTTAATTTTTTAATTTTTTAAAAATTACGAAAACTTTCAACATGAAGTTTTACGTTTTCCATATTTTACAATCGCGAACCGCTCTACATTCTCTATCGACAGTTCTCACATGCCAAGAGTTTTTATACTCTTTCTTTGCATCAATTATGTATCATGTGATTTGTCTTTTTTATCGTATTCTTTTAACAAATATTACATCGTTGCATGTCACAGCGATATGCTTCACAAAGAGCGAATTAAAGTAGGCGCGACGAAGTGTGTATACAAAAAAATATGTATATATATTGTATATATACACACATTATATGCCGTGGGTGGAGACAAATTAATATTTGATGCACGTCGTTCCTGTGGGCCGGTGCTGGAGTGTCGACGGATCGGCAGGCTGCTACCGGGCGACCCGCCTGGTGAACTCGCGCAAGACGGCGCTACTCGTATCTTCGGTGTTACCAGAGTGTTGTCTGATAGACGTCTGCTCGTGAACGTGGTGGCCACTCTCAAGAAATTATTACTCCCGTTGTTTGAACTCGATGAGGTGAACCATCCGCCGAACACCGCTAAACAACGATAAAAAAATGTGTTTGTTTCGTTAAATCGACCACACCAGTAGCCAGCCTAAATCAAACTAAATATCAAGCCCATCGTACTTAATAATGAATCATTTACATTAATTAAGGGGAAACCTTACCAGTACTGTTCCCACTTACCAGCCATCGAACTTTTCCGTGTCATATTCTCCGTTTTCCATCATAACTAGGTCAAATGAGATCTTTGTTTTAGACAATGCAATGAGTGTCTACGGATGAAAATAAATTAGTTACATTTATAATTTAACAATATTAATGATTTATGATGAATGCTGAATATGTATAGATATGCATTCATCTCAGACAGTTAGATATTTTTTTTAATCATTTCACGAGCTATTAAACGCGCGCTCAAGCACTCGTTTATTTTTGCAATAATTATTATTAATTAGAGCGTTGAACAATCATTACGTTGACCCGTTTATACAACGTTTGTAATTAAATGCAACTTGACTGACCTCAACGTTAATTGCACTTGCCTCTCGATATTGTTTAACATATCCTGCACCACCTCGAGGAGCAATATGAATTGTTCAAGATTTAAGGCCGTGTTCACGGTTTGCGGTATCAGCGACGGCATCGCATGCAGCGCTATCCAATTGACCGACAGCCCATACTTTTTGTCGGTCAGCATCAGTCTGTAAATATCTGAACGCGAACGGGCAAAAAGTGATTAGTCATGTTATCATTTCTTTCTTTTTTTCAAATGAAATACTATCCCCTTGGGATACGAACAATCTCTTTTTTTGCATTCTCTTTTTCCGGTTTTCTTTCTTTGTTATATTGTTGAGCATAGAATCTGTTATCAAGTTACTTTATTGCAGATTAAAATGTGCTCTAGCTAATTGCTTTACTTTTATAGTGAGATAAAACAGGTTCTATTTTGGATTGTTGTAGCAAAATACATTATTTAGCTTAGGTTCATCCCAGGCATAATATAGTGTCCAAATCCTGATAACTACTATTAACTGCTTGCCTCAACAATTAAATACGCAAAAGTGAGATGATATTTTGTATCATGTTTTCAGCGTTTGAATATGGAATACAAATATAAAACAAAATATATATTATTCGTATCTTTTTTGTATCATTTTATAGTCATATGTTTTGGACATAGATTTGTTGCTTTTCTTAATTGTAAAGAAACTTAATTTTTATATATTTTCTACGCATTAGGCAAGTAGTTAATTGTTGTTATTGAAAGAAAACCGATTAGGCACATGAAGGAATCCACGTAATTTTGAAATCGTTTTTATTTCACGAGAATGTATTGAATCATTACAAGTATCATAGATTTTTATTGACTAAACTCAAAGGTGAGCAAATTTTAAGAGACATAATGGCTGCTGCTTGCTTATTAAATATAAATGAGTTCATATAATGAGTAGTAGTTCACTGGAATTAGAAGTAGTGGTTAATCCAGTAATTGCTTATGTTTAATTTATTATTGTTAGTGTGATTGCCAGACAGAGTTTTTAAACAACATAACACATTTGAAAAATATCTACAGCTTATATCTGTATAATATTTTAATGATGAAGATAACACTTTATGAGATTGTGTTATGAATCATCTATATTTATGTATTTTGGACATTTTTGCTGTTTAAATAATGTACAATGATTTTATTTCAAGCATTTTATAGATATAGAAGATGAGTTTGTTTAATGAAAATAGTTTTTCTATGTATGCATTTTGAATAATTGGATTTTAGGGTATATTGGTTTTCTTACGCGTAACAACCACACATGATCTTGCTTATATATATGTTACTTGATATCAAATGTATATTCATTGTATATCTAATGAAATTCTAATTACTTTTCATTTTATGACATAGGTTTCATACATTCATTGATTGTATGAATGACTTGCTTGAGCAGAATAGAAGGCATGAAGAAACTTCACACTTTTGCGCGTACTTTGACAGGTAATTTCACTTTTCTTTGTTTTTTTTGTTTTAATAAGTATGAAAAAAAGAACAAATTGAGAGATTAGAGTGAAGTGACGGTAAATACATATATAATGATAATGTATAACATACAAATATAAAAATTATTAGATATATACACACATATATGATACAGGTGTTAACAAAAGCAGGTATAAGTTCTTTGCCACGTCCAAAAGGTATTATAGGGTTCCCTGAGGAGCATTTTTTTTTCCACATTAGAAAAAGAGACTAACATGAAGCTAGTGTAGCTAGTTTAGCTATAATGATTTATAAATATATAGATCTATAAATATATATATAATATAGATATTTTTGTAATAGTATGTAGAATCGCAGTATATTAAAATTATTGAAAAACAGTAAACTGTACAAAATTTTATATTTTATTTCATTGTCAGTCAAGTCGGGCCAAGAAGGTAGAGTCAGGATAGATATATGTTGAATAGATTATAATTCATTCACTGTTTTCGTTTCATAAATTATTTTCCCGTGGTCACTACAAGCAAAACTTCAAAGTGTAATATGCGCTGATAGCTAACTTGCATATGACAACGCGCTGCGCACGAAATGCAGCGATTATCTATAAGAGTGTAATGTGGAAGGGATGCTTTAGCAACAATTTTAGTTAACTGTTCTTTTTCAAATATGTAATAACATGTCATTTTTATATTTATTTTGCGACTATGCACAACACAAGTGCGGTATAAACAATGCGTCATGCAGCGCGACGCATATAATGTGATACTGATGACTTATTTTTAAAAGATGCGATTTTGGAACATAATAAAATCATATATGGTTGAATTCAGCGTAAAAAATGCTACAACTTTTGTCATTACAAAAATTTTAAAATTCGAAAAAATAATAAGAAGGGGTAAGAGTAAATTAAAAAATTTAAATTTTTTAAAAATCGACTTACGCGGTTATAAAGCTCATAAAAGACCATGCATCTTTTATTCGAAACATTTTTTGATACCTCTTACAGTTTTGACGATATTCAGTCAAAATCAAAAAAACCGTTTTAGCTTGTAGGGGTTGTTTCAACCCTAAACGTGCGAGAAAGCACATAAAAAAAAATACGTGTCTCTTATTTTGAACTACTTTACAACATATTTAAAGCTCGTCAAAATCGGAGGGGGACACTTGGGTCCCTTTCCTTGTAAGCTTCGGACAAAATTTTGTAAAAGGAAAAATCGTCTCAGAATTCGTTCAAGAATATGGCATTGCAAGGACATCAGGTTATTTTGAATCACCTTGTATATGTGATTTTTATATGAATTTCTGCTTTTCTCTTTATCTATATTTTTAAAAATTAACCTGATATTTCCCACACAGCATGCATATCCGGGGGATGTTCAGAGGACATCCCGAAGATATCGTATCTCTCAAAGATATCTTCGGGATGTTTTCTGGACATCTTTCGGATATGTGCTGTGTGGGTTATATTATATTAAGAAATGTATTTTAAAAGTATATTTATTTATTCTTTTCTGGCGCGTAATGTTAATTATTATTGTCTTACATGTATTTGTACTTTATCTTTATATACATCGATTTAGTAAAATTTATAACTTTTATTGTGTCCAAAAGGAGA